GGTCCATGTGTGACCCAATCTTGAGGATCTTAAAAATACTACCCACAATGCTAATGTGCACCCAAGGTTGAAAGCCATTGGCCTAGGTAATGTTTAAGATATCTTCAATCTTAATATTCTATAGTTCTGAGATTTCTTGTTCTGTAGGAGTTAAGAGTACAAATTCTGGAGTTGACTGCTGAAGGTTGAATCCTTTTTCCTTACAACAGTTGTATCTAAGGTAAATTACTTAATCTCTTTAATCCTCTATTTCTTCATATTTGAAAATCAATACAATTTTGCTTCATAGTTAAAAATTTAAAACCTTTATTTTAGAGCAGTTTTAGGTTCACAGCAAAGATAAGTGGGATGTACATACTTTCTATATATGCACTGTCCCACACACACGGCCTCTCCCAGTATTGATGTTCTGCACCATTTGGTACAATTGATAAACTTACACTGACACATCACCATTACCCAAAGCCCACGGTTTACATTAGAGTTCACTCTTGTGTTGTACATTCTATGGGTTTTGACAAATGTGTAGTGACATGTCTCCAACATTATAGTATCATGCAGAGTAGTTTCACTACCCTAAACATTCTCTGCTTTCTGCCTATTTATCCCTCCCACTCCCCTGACCCTGGCAAGGGTCATTTTACTGTCTCCATACTTTTACCTTTTCCAGAATGTCATATAGTTGGAATCAAACACTATGTAGCCTTTTCAGATTAACTTCTTTCACTTAATAATATATATTAAGTTTCCTCCATGTCATTTGAAGGCTTAAAAGCTAATCTCTTTTTCAACACTGAATAATATTCCATTGTTTGGATGTACCACAGTTGATTTATCTGTTCACCATCTAAGGATGTCTTGGTTGCTTCCAAGATCTGGCAATTATGAATAAAGCTGCTAATAGTACCTTTGTGCAGATTTTTGTGTAGATGTTAGTTTTCTGTTTGTTTAGGTAAATACCAAGGAGTGTGATTGTTGGATTGTATTTAGAAAAACCTACCAGAAACTCTTAGAACTGATAGATGAAGTTAGTAAAGTTGAAGACTATAAAGTCAACATACAAGTTGGGCATGGTGACATGTGGCGTAGTCCTAGCACTCAGGAGACTGAGGTGGGAGGATTGCCTGAACCCAGGAGTTTGAGAGCAGCCTGGGTAACAGAGCAAGACTTCTGTCACTTAAAATGAATACAAAACTATTAGCACATCTATACACTAACAACACTTGATCTGAAAAAGAAATCAAGAATGTAATCTCATTTATAGTACTTACACACACACAAAATACCTAGGAATGAACTTAGCCAAAGATATGATAATGTTATGAAGCTTTTAATACACAGCCCTGCATATAGTAAGTGCTCAATAAATGATAGCTGCTTTCTTTCTAATCACCTGTTTTCTCCTTGGTATGCAGATTTTGGAAGGAAAGAGAGTGAATTTCATATTAGAGCGTAAAAGATAGCATTTTATCTGATCTGTTATATGCCTGAAGCCAGTCTGCATTGTTTTAACAGAACTTTGACTTTGTAAGTGGTAAGCAATAGAAAAGACCTGCTAGGAAGAAGAAGCTGTGGAGAGGGATAGCTGAATATAAGGTGAGGCCTGGTGCTCCCTTGGGTCATAGACTGATGGGTAAAGTGTAGGAAGAGAAGTCACTTTGGGTGTTGGGAGCTGTGCATGCCTGTGCATACACATGCACACTCTTGGGAGTGTAGAATTCATGTCTGTTGAAGTGTAATTCTCTGTGTCAGGAAGCAGAAGATCATGAGAGGGAGAATTCTGAGAAACTAGAGAAATGAAGAAACAAAAGTACATGAGAACAAAAGAGAAATTCTTTTTTTTGTTTTCCCACTTTCTTCCTTCCTTTACTACCCATGGAATCTTAGCTCATTTTTATGGATTCCCATGTGTATATTGTTTCTTGGTCATTGTTGGAAGAATTGGGGAAAATATGGACTTTTAAAAGTCTGGGATAGTTTTGAAACCATAGACCGGTGTAACCAAACTTTATTTCCTTCCTTCCTTCCCTATCTCCCTTTTTTTCTTTCGTTTTCTCTTCCTTCCTACGTTAATTCAAAGGCAGGCTCATTTAGTACTCAAAATGTTTCTTGAATTAATACATTAGACTTTGTGTTTACAGGGGCTTAAATGGAAAGACAGGACTTGCACCCTTGAGAGGCTCATAATTTTTAAATTTTGGTATTGGACCATTTCATTGGATTGGTACTATGATGGCTTATTTCCCTCACTTAGTCTATTACAATGATTCTCACACTTTAGTGTACAGTGGAATCACCTGGAGGTCTTGTTAAATCTCAGATTTTTTCAAATGATGACATTAACATAAAAAAAATAAAGCTCAGATTTCTGGACCCATCTCCAATTTCTGACTCAGTAGGTCTGATGCAGGGCTTGAGAATTTGTATTTCTAGCAAGTTCTCAAGTGATGCTTATGCTGCTGGTCCCTGGATCATGCTTTGAGAATCACGGATCTACTAGGATGCTCTCCATTTTTCTCAGTGAGAAGACAGAAGCTGTATTAGTTACTTGAAGAGAGAGAATATACTATAAGGAATTTTAAGCTAGGTATAAAGTTGTTAACCTGAAAGTAAATGAGGTTTAAAGTTCCACGAAGGAAGCAATTGTGGGAAGCATCTCCCACCTCCTGGGACTCACAGAAAAAAAAAAAAAAAAAAAAAAAAAGAAGGGAAAATGCCTGGACTATTAAAACTTCAGAAAATTCAAGAAGCTGAAACTCCGATCTCTAAGAATCTCTCCTGTTCTGGATCCTGTTCCACACACTGGATGAGGCTTGTCCTGCAAGTGTTGGAAAAACTGCAAAGTGAATTTATCTGCTGCTGCAGGGAGGTACTGCAGCTACTGGGGTGGAGATGCAGTGCTGTGGTGATTCTCACAAGAGCAGAAGGCAAAAAGAAGGAGCAAGTTCCTTCTTCCTTCACCAGTGCAGCTTCTCTATTGCCTCCTATTTTGCAGAACCTAACAATGGATGCAGGTGGCAAAAAAGAAACATGGCTTGCAACACTTCAGATCAGAGTGTGGTAGCTTGGGTTTGTTGCTGAGAAACATAGAAAAATACTAGAGTATCAGTACTTTAAACGGCTGTGCTTTGTGAGAAGCTGACTTTTTTGAGATGATTTATTAGGAATCAGCTGAAAACTGACTGGTTCAAAATAATAACTTTGAAAAAGCATAGTCAAGTTAAAGGCTAACTACTTGATTTTAAGACTCCTTAAAAAATTAAGAGAATCAAGAGTGTAATATTGACATTAAGATAAACAACATATCAATGGAACAGAATAGAGAATCTAGAAATAGACTCACACATAGAATGACAACCAATTTTGACAAAGGTGCAATGGCAATTCAGTGGAGAAAGAATCCATCAACAGATAGTATTAGAAGAGTTAGATTCATATGTAAGAAAAAAAGAATAAAAACCCTTTGATTTATACCTTGCATCATTAACTGAAAACGGATCACAAATCTAAACGTAAAATTTGAAACTATAAAACTTCTAGATAATAGATAAATCTTTGTGATCTTAAGTTAGACAAGGATTTCTTAGATATGCTATCAAGAGCACAGTCCATAAAAGGAAAAATGATAGATTAGATTTCATCAAAATTAAAAACTTTTAATCTGCAGGCTGGGCACAGTGGCTTACACTTGTAATCCTAGCACTTTGGGAGGCCAAGGTGGAAGGATTGCTTGAACTCAGGAGTTTGAGACCAGCCTGGAGAATGTGGTGAGACCTCATCTCTACAAAAAAGTATAAAAATTAGTCGGTCATGGTTACATGTGCCTGTAGTACAGGCTACTTGGGAGGCTGAGGTGTGAGGATGGCTTGCGCCTGGGAGGCGGAGGTTGCAGTGAGCTGCGATCACAGCATTGCACTCCAGTCTGGGCAACAGAAAGATACTATCTCAAAAAACAACAATAAAACCCTTTTGATCTTGAAAGTCACTGGTGGGAGACTCTGCTAAAAAGATAAGCCACAGACTGGGAAAAAATATTTGTAGAGCACATGTCTGATAAAGGGCATGCATCCAGAATGTATGAAGAATTTTCAAAATTAAATGATAAGAAAACAAACAACTCAATTAAAAAATGGGCAAAAGATTTGAACAAGCCCTTCACCAAAGAAGACATACAGACGGCAAATAAGCACATAAAAAGATGAACATCATTTATCATTAGGGAAATGTAAATTAAACCACAACGAGATATCACTATATAGCAATTAGAATGTCTAAAATTATAATAAATATACCAACCATACCAAGTGTTGCCTAAAATGTGGAACAACTGTAATTTTAATATACTACTGATAAGAGCATAAAATAGTATGACTATTCTGGAAAGCAGATTGGCAGTGTCTTAAAAAAGATAGACACATACATATGCTATGTAATCTAGCCATTCCACTGCAAGGTATTTTCTCAAGAGAAAAAGAAGCCTATGTTCATATAAAGACTTGCACCCTATATTGACTTTATTTATAATAGCCCCAAACTGGAAATGACACAAATGTTCATATAAAGAAGAATAGATATTAAGTATGAGTGTTTATATCCATATAATGGAATACCCGTCTACAATAAAAAGGAATGAACTCTTGATACATTGTTCAGCATGAATGAGTCTCAAAATAATTATGCTAAATAATAGACACCTGACAAAAGAGTGTATACTATGTGATTCAATTTATTTAAAAAATTCTAGAAAGTATAAACTAATGTTAATGACAGTTTATATCAATGGTTGCTTGGGGATGATGAGGTCAGGGCTGGGCAGGTGGGAGAGATAACAAAAGAGGGTACCAGGAAACTTTTAGTAGTGATGAATGTGTTCCTTATCTTGAGTGTTGTGGTGGTTTTATGGGTATATACATAGAAATAGTGTGATGTAAGTATATGCAGTTTATTGGATGTCAGTGATACCTTATTAAAGCTGTTTAAAAACTGTTTTGTTACCACAGTGCTAAATTCAAATGAAGAATTCAAATGGGGGAAAAGAGGTCGTGTTTAGGTACGCCCATCTCTGCTGCTTGAGAGGCTCAGGGTAAGAATAAAAGTGCAGGCTCATAACCTGCACATAACCTCACTCATTTTTCTTCCCATCCTTTCCGTTCATGTCTCTGCTTAAATATAACCTTTTCAGAGAGACCATTGATTAACATAATATCACCTTCTCCCTTACCTTGCTTTATTTTTCTTCACAACACTTACCAATATTTTATGTTATATCTCAAGGGTATTTGTTATTCATCTGTAGTCTGTCTCATCCACTACAATTTAAGTTCTATGAGGTCAGGGACTTTAACCTCTCTTGTTTAATGACGTGAATATTAAGAGTAAAAGAATGAAGAAATGCAATAATAAGTATACAAATGCTTTTGGAGTTACAATTTATCACACAATATTGTATCGACAGTGGTTCCAGTCACTTCAATGACATGTTTGAACCACTATATCTGAGAAAGTAGATAGCGCAGGAATTTTTGTGGGATGGGATTCCATGAACTGGGAACTATCCTGAAGGCTTTTAGGAAATGTAAGTTTCCCTGACTTCAAGCATATTTGCTGCAACTCAACTTGATTCATTATTATAGTTGTGATGGTGACTAACTCCTGTAGTAAAAATAAATAGAAGTAGGGGCTGAATAACCTCTGAAGATATTTCTGTTTGTCCTATAACTAAGTAAGCATAAACTGTCAAAGCAATTACTGAGATGTAATCCATTAGTAATTCTAGAGGATGAACTTGAGTTATTGAACAGCAAAATGAGTGATAACCTGACAAATATTTCTGGGCAATCTCCTTCAATGATCAGAATCTTATAACACTTTTTTTTAAAAAAATTATAACAGGGTCTTTGTCACCCAGACTGCAGTGCAGTAGCATGGACTGTGCTCATTGCAGCTTTGAAATCCCAGGCTGAAGCATTTCTCCCACTTCAGCCATGTGAGTAGCTGGGACTACAGGCGTGCACCACCATGCCCAGCTAATTTCTCTATATTTTGTAGAGATGGGGTTTCACCATGTTGCCCAGGCTGGTCTTGAACTCCTGGGCTCAAGCAATCTACCCATCTCAGCCTCCCAAAGTGCTGGGATTAAAGGCATGAGCCTCCATGCCCAGCATAAATTTTAAAGATTCTTTAGGGATTGAAAAGGGTGATGACAGCCAGGATAAGTTTTCTTTTCACAAATTCCCTAAACATTTTTTTGTTGATTTTTTCTTTCTTTGTTTCTTTTCACAAATTCTTTAAGTGGTGTTATGGTCAATTTATTGTTGAAAGCAATGTTAGCATCCTTGTATTTTAGAGCTAAGATTTTTGCACCAAAGTCTTTTCTTCTTTTTAAAAAAACAAGTTTATTAAGGTATAATTGATATACTAAAACTGCACATATTTAATGTACACAATTTGATGAGTTCAGACATATGCATACCCCTGGAAGCCATCACCACAATCAAGGTAATGGATTTGTTTTTTGTTTTGTTTTGTTTTTTTTTGAGACGTAGTTTCGCTCTTGTTACCCAGGCTGGAGTGCAATGGCGCGATCTCGGCTCACCGCAACCTCCGCCTCCTGGGTTCAGGCAATTCTCCTGCCTCAGCCTCCCGAGTAGCTGGGATTACAAGCACGCGCCACCGTGCCCAGCTAATTTTTTTGTATTTTTAGTAGAGACGGGGTTTCACCATGTTGACCAGGATGGTCTCGATCTCTTGACCTCGTGATCCACCCGCCTCGGCCTCCCAAAGTGCTGGGTGGATTTGTTTTTTTAAATGGAAAAGAAAAACTGTGTTACTCCTTGAAATTGCCTTTTTTGATATGTTAAACACAGTGGCCTAATTGCCAGGGTATTTTCAGCTCTGAGTCACTGAATTTATTTTACTTTGGGAAAGTTTGATCTACCCCTGAGCTTACCTATGTCACACTGCCCAGGTTATCATCTTTGGTTCAACACTGTCATTATGAAATCTAAGTGTTTTAGATTAGCCAGAGCCCTTGAAAAAGATTTAATGTTGCTTCTTCTGTGTGTGTTTTTTCTCCTTTAAAAACAATCATTTCAATTTTTATTTTAGATTCAGGGTACACATGCAGGTTTGTTACATGGGTATATTGTGTGATGCTGGGGTTTGGGGTACAATTTATGCTGTCACCCAAGTAGTGAGCATGGTACCCAACAGTTTTTCACCCCTTGCCTTTCTTTCCTCCCTTCCTCATCTAGTCCCTAGTGTCTGTTGCTGTCTTTATGTCCATGAGTACTCAATGTTTATCTCCCACTTATAGGTGAACATGTAGTACTTGGTTTTCTTTTTTTTTTTTTCCCCCCTGAGATGGAGTCTCTCTCTGTCGCCAAGCTGGAGAGCAGTGTTGTGATTTTGGCCCACCACAACCTCTGCCTCCTGGGTTCTAGTGATTCTCCTGCCTCAGCCTCCCAAAGTAGCTTGGATTATAGGCATGTGCCACCATGCCTAGCTGATTTTTGTATTTTTAGTATAGACAGGGTTTCACTATGTTGGCCAGGCTGTTCTCAAGCTCCTGATCTCAAGTGATCTGCCCACCTTGGCCTCCCAAAGTGTTGGGATTACAGGCATGAGCTACTGCGCCCATCCAGTATATGATTTTCTGTTCCTGCACTAATTTGCTTATGATGATAGCCTCCAGCTGAATCCATGTTGCTGCAAAGGACATGATTTTATTGTTTTTTATGGCTGAATGTATTAAAGTTTGAAATGAAAATGGGGATTACTTTGAGTTCCCTTAAGTTACTGTGAATAAGAAGTTCCTCTGCTGTAATAGTCCTCCTCAATTAGTATTAATATAGAACAGTAAGCTAGAATGAGCATACTCTCATTTCCTTTTTCTTCCTTCCTGCCTTCCTGCCTTCCTGCCTCCCTCCTCTCCCTTCTCTCCCTTCCTTTGCCTCCCCTCCCCTCCTCCCTCCTCCCCCCTCCCTCCCTCCCTCCCTTCCTTCCTTCCTTCCTCCTTCCTTCCTCCTTCTTTCTTTCCTTCCTTCCTGCCCTCTCTCCTTCTTTCCTCCCTCCCTCCCTCCCTCCCTCCCTCCCTCCCTCCCTCCCTCCCTCCCTCCCTCCCTCCCTCCCTCCCTTCCTTCCTCAGAATCTCTGTTGCCCAAGCTGGACTGCAATGGCCCTATCTCAGCTCACTGCAACATCCACCTCCTGGGTTCAAGTGATTCTTGTGCCTCACCCTTCTGACTACCTGGAATTACAGGTGCATGTCACCACACCTGGCTAAGTTTTGTATTTTTAGTAGAGACAGGGTTTTACCATGTTGGCCAGGCTGGTCTCAAACTCCTGACCTCAGGTGATCTACCCACTTTGGTCTCCCGAAGTTCTGGATTACAGGTGAGAGCCACCATGCTTGGCCCTTACTCTCACTTTCTACAGGGTCTTTGTTGTTATGTTGGTAACCTGAATTGAGATATATTATTTTACAGGTTTTTTTTTCTTTCTCTTTTTCTTTTTTTTTTTTTTTAAGACGAGGTTTCACCATGTTGGTCAGGCTGATCTTGAACTCCTGACCTCAGGTGATCCTCCTGCCTTGGCCTCCAAAGTGCTTGGATTACAGGTGTGAGCCACCGCTCCCAGCCTATTTTACAGTTTTTAGTATCAGGTTCAATTCAAGATACTCCAAATTTACCTCTGGCCCCCACTTGGATTTAAATGATTCCTAGGTATGCTTGTGGGTGGTCTGGTCAAAATAATATGCCAACTATCTTCTTAATCTCTCCATGAAAGCAATTCTTCATGGACTGCTAACTTATACTGACAGATTACGCATGTATTGAATCCCTCAAACAGACCACTTCTTTAAACCCAGTCAAAACACTGAAAAACTTGAGATTCCTGTGCAATTAACTACATTTCGATTGCCTAAAGAAGTAGGTAAAGGATGTTTACCTAACATAAAAATTACCAGGTTCAGAGCCTAAATATTTCACAGTATAATTTAAAATGTTTTAATGGCAATAGTTCTGAGCTTTCTCAATGAAGCTTACAAGCTTATCATTAGGAAGGAGCTCTTTCTAAAAAGCAGAATAGACATAGAGCAGGGAGTTTTAACCTTGGTTCCACATTACAATTGACTGAGGAGCTTTCAGAAAATATTGATGGCCAGGCCCACCCCTAGAGTATCAAATACTTTTTATGCATTGATAATCATCAAGTTCTAATCGATTATTTTATTATATTGTATATTGACTAATTTTTTTATTCTGAAGTATACTTGTATTCCTGGGGGTAAATCTTACTTGGTCATGGCATATAATCTTTTTTATATGTCACTAGATTCAGTTTGGTAGTATTTTACTGAGAATATTTGTGTTTATATAAATAAGGTATATTGGCTGTACTTTTGATGTGATATCTTTGGTTTTCGTATCAGGGTAATAATGACCTCAGAAAATAAGTTAGTTTGGAAGTGTTCCCTACTCTGTTATTTTTTTGGAAAAGTTTGTGAATAATTCATGTTCTTCTTCTTTAATATTTGGTAGAATTTACCACTGAAGCCATCTTGTCCTGAGTTTTCCTTGTAGGAACCTTTTTGATTACTAATCTTTTTAGTTGTTATAGTTTCATTTGTATTTTCTATTTCTTCTTGAGTCAGTTTTGTTGTTTCTGTCTTCCTAGAAATTTATTCATTTTATCTAGCTTATCTAATTTGTTGGCATAAAATTGCTCATAGAATTCCCTTAGAATTCTTTTTATTTCTGTAAATTGGTAGTAATGCACTTTCTTTTGTTCTGGAATTTAGTAATTTGAGTCTTTTCTCTGTTATTCATGGTCAATCTAACTAAAAGTTTGTCAGTTTTTTTTTTAAGAAAGTGATTTTGGTTCTGTTTATTTTCTGTATTGTTTCTCTAGTCTCTATTTTTATTTAGGTCTGTTCTAATCTTTATTACCTCCTCTATTTTGCTTTTCTATAACTCATTTATTAAGTTTTCTGAGTAGGTACTAGTGTTGATTTTTATTAAATGCTATTTGGGGGCATCTATATAGGTCCTATGATGTATCCTATTGGTCTATTAGTATAAAT